ACAGTCTTGTCCATTGTGCCCCAAGGAGAAATTCAGAGCTTGTAATAGCCATAAGCTTCGTCGTCACCTTCAAAATTTACACTGGAAAGTCTCAGTTGAATTTGAAGGTTAGTATTTTTGTGCTTGCTAAAAAGTAAATGAGTCAAGATTTGATAGAAGTTTTGGAATTTTATTGTGAACATAAATATTTTCCATTTAAAATTATGAGGGATTTGATGTCCTTTTAATGTATTTCTTAGTAAATGACCATGTAACTCTCTAGGCAGTAGATGTATGTTGCAAGTGTAGTTTACTCTAGCAAACATTTTTAAGCATCTGTTCTATACTCGGTACTTTGCTTGGTCCTGGGGTCCCCATAACTTTTTGAACTATGTTTTAGTTTTTTATTTTTTATTTTTTTTATTTTTATTTTTAAAGATTTTATTTATTAATTTGACAGAGAGAGCGAGAGCGGGAACACAAGCAGGGGGAGTGGGAGAGGGAGAAGCAGGCTTCCCGCTGAGCAGGGAGCCCGATGCGGGGCTCGATCCCAGGACCCTGGGATCATGACCTGAGCCGAAGGCAGACGCTTAACGACTGAGCCACCCAGGCACCCCTATTTTTTTATTTTTTTAAGATTTTTATTTCTTTATTAGAGCAAGCACAAGCAGAGGGAGAAGCAGGTTCCCCGCGGAGCAAGGATCCCAGGATCCCAGGACCCTGGGATCATAACCTGAGCCAAAGGCAGAGCATAACCAACTGAGCCATCCAGGCATCCCTGAACTATGTTTTAAAAAGCTATACTTTTTCTTTTATGTTAGAACAACTACCATCTGACACATAATTTTGAAAGCGTAATAAATGCAAAACAAAATAAAATATATGGTATGAATATTAGAAAAAAAGAAGACAATGTCTTTTTTTCTGCTGATGGCTTAAAAAGATTAGACTTAGTAAGAGTAGTGGGATATAAGATAAATACTTGAAATCATAACCTTTCTCTACTCTATATAAATGGAAAGTAGAAAAAAGGCACCAATTATAGTAGTGACAAAAATGACACAATTTGGGGGACTAAATTTAATAAGAGGTCTCATAAAGAATAAAATTAAAGAACAAAAGATGAGATCTTACCAAGTAAGAAGACTTCCTAGATAAAATCAGTTATTAGATTCTGAGAGTGAATTATGTGAATTATTATAGCATTTTTGGAAAGAGATCTCGCAACATTTTTTTTTTAATGTTTTATTTATTTATTCATGAGAGTCAGAGAGAGAGAGAGAGAGGCAGAGGCAGAGGGAGAAGCAGGCTCCCCGCCTAACAGGGAGCCCGATGCGGGACTTGATCCCAGGACCCTGGGATCATGACCTGAGCCGAAGGCAGACGCTTAACCATCTGAGCCACCCAGGCGCCCCAGAGATCTCGCAACATTTTTAAAATTTAAAATACACTTATTTCTCCACCAGGTACTCCCTCTTTTGGGAGTAAAAGAATCAGTTGATAAGGATAGATGTACAAGAATATTCACTGCAGCATTTACTTAGTGACAAAAACTTGAAACTAAAATAAAAGAGGGTTGGTTTACTGTATTATGGTGTATACATACCATGAAATATTATGCTGCCATTGTGAAAAGTATATATTAGATTCATACTAGCTTACTTGGAAGGATTTCCACTATAAACTGCTATTGAAAACAGCGTGTGTGTGTAAGATTTTATGATATTACATTTAGATAAAAAAAAAAAATATCTCCCAAAAAAAGCCCTAAATATCCATGTTAAGCATATGCATACTTATATTTGCATGATTTTGTGAGCATAGGTGTTGCTAAGTGTGGTTATCTGGAGTTTTAACCAAACTGGATGAAATAGCCAGTATGAGACACCCAGAAAAGAAGTCAGAACTATTTTCTTAGTAGTACTGGTAAAAGGTTATCACTAGTTACTTAGGGAAAAGGGAATTAGAGACTAAATCAGAGGCCATCATGTCTTTTATGTTTAATTATTTATAAGAAAGTATAGCAGGGGCGCCTGGGTGGCTCAGTCGTTAAGCGTCTGCCTTCGGCTCAGGTCATGATCCCAGGGTCCTGGGATCGAGCCCCGCATCGGGCTCCCTGCTCCACGGGAAGCCTGTTTCTCCCTCTCCCTCTCCCCCTGCTTGTGATCCTGCTCTCACTGTGTCTCTCTCTGTCAAATAAATAAATAAAATCTTTAAAAAAAAGAAAAAGAAAGTATAGTAAATCGTGTCTTTTTATCAAAAAGTTCTTTTTGTATTCTTTATTTAAGCCATTGTGTAACCTTTAGGTTAGTCTTTGTCTTCCAAGTTATTCTCATCTCTTAAATGGCTCATGGCATTTCTTTACTTTCTTAAGTATATTAAGTTGTTGGGTTTTTTCACATGGTGGTGATCTGGTAGATGGCAAGTATCACAGTTTTTGTTTTAGCAAGCAAGTCTCAAAGTAGTTGGCAAATATGTTTAAGGTAGAAGCAATAAGACCTGCTGAAGGAATAGAAAAAGTGAGATGTGAGGGGAAATAAGCTAAGAATGCTTGAGCTTGAGACTTGAGCAGCTATAAAAATGGTGGTATCCTTTGCTGAGCAGAGAAGTGCATCTCCTGGAGATGTCAAGTAGCCTGTAGAATTTTGAGTTTGGGGGAAAGGTTGGGACTAGAGATACATGTTTGGGAATTGTCAGAATATAGATGGTATTTAAAGCCATAAGACTGGATGGGATAGGGCGCCTGGGTGGCTCAGTTGGTTAAGCGACTGCCTTCGGCTCAGGTCATGATCCCGGAGTCCTGGGATCAAGTCCTACATCGGGCTCCCTGCTCGGCGGGGGGCCTGCTTCTCATTCTGACCCTCCCCCCTCTCATGCTTCTCTCTCTCTTTCTCACTCTCTTGCTCTCAAATAAATAAAATCTTGGGGAAAAAAAGACTGGATGGGATAACCATAGGAGTACATATCAATGGGGAAAAAAAAAGGTTGCTGCGTCCTGGGATACTTCCGTATGTACAAGTAAGAGAAACAATTAGATGCAAGGTATGAGAAGAAAGGAGTTAGAGATCACTTACAGTTAGGACAACTGGAAGGCATTATCATTTATTTAAAAAATGAAAGAGACCTGGTTCAAGACGAAATGATATATTTAGTCCTTGACAGATTTTTGAAATACTGACCTGATAACCCAGTGGTACATCCTCAACAGGCAATCAGAAATAGAGATCCAGTCCTCAGGAAGGAGTTAGTAACTAGAGCTAGAATTTGGAATTCCTTCCCCCAGGGGAGATAGTTGCAACCATAAAAGGCATTGAAGTTACCAAGGAAATGAGGAGGAAAAGTCATGTAGCAGATCAAGCCTATAGAAAATCTACCTTTTAGAAAAGTAGAAGAGAGGGGCGCCTGGGTGGCTCAGCTGGTTAAGCGTCTGCCTTCGGCTCAGGTCATGATCCCAGGGTCCTGGGATCGAGCCCCGCATCGGGCTCCCTGCTCCGCAGGAAGAAGCCTGCTTCTCCCTCTCCCACTCCCCCTGCTCGTGTTCCCTCTCTCGCTGTGTCTCTCTCTGTCAAATAAATAAATAAAATCTTTAAAAAAAAAAAAAAGAAAAAAGTAGAAGAGAGAGAAGAGGACATATGAAGAAGATTAAGAAAGATGGGAGAGAACTAAGTGCCATATCATAAAGAGGCTGTGTAATGGCAAATGTAGTATGAGGCAAAGAAGGTGAAGCCTAAGAAAAGGTCACAGTGTCAGAGAATAGATGATAAAATTGAGTCCCAGAGAAGCTAAATGACAAATCCAAGATAACACATAGTCTTGGCAGAACCAGAATTCAAACCTGGATCTCATATATTTGTTTTTGTACTATATCTTATATAACAAATATATAAAACTAAGTCTCATTCAAATAAATTATGACCTTATAAATAAAAGAAGAATCCAGTTATTACAAAATAAAATTTGCTAATAATTTTTAACGATAATTGAATATTTAATGAACACTGATATGACAACCATCAATTCTTCACTTTAGGTTACAGGATGTGCATCTGTCACTTACCTTGTCGACCAGTGAAACCAAACATTATTGGAGAACAGGTAATCAGATGTTAGATTTCTTTTCAAATTTAGCCCTCTTTAAAGAAAGCATAATTTTTACTTGGCTTAAGGCTGTGGGCATATTTGGCAATGAGGTTTACTTTAAGATTTTGTATCTGAGCGCTTTCAGATTATCATAGCATGAAAAATATGAGATATATGAAAAAAAGAGTTGCTGTATTGAACTTTTCATTTTATAGTTTTTAATTTTCAGATAAATTTTTCCCTTGTGTTCAAAAGGAAAGTTATCCTATTTACTAATTTTGGAATGGAGAATTTAAATAAAAAGTAATTATTTTTCTTTTAAAATAAATTTTGATTATGCAATAAGAGCCTTCAATTTCTATGTTTAGTAAATATCTTAGTATGTCAATTCGTATTTACCTTCTCTATGCTCTTTCTTTTAATTTGTCAATGGACAGAATCAAGAAACTTTCTGAAATCTTAATAATATCTTTAAAAGTACTTATGTTCATTTTTAGGATACATTTAACTTTGGGGGGATACAAATTACAAAATATTTTTTAGTAATACTATCCTGAATGCATATTACTTAAGAAGTCCTCGTTATTAATTTTTTTTCAGGTCACTAAAAAGAGTAAAGTGCTGGGGAGAAAAAAACCCAAGCATTTCTTAAGCAGTAGTCAGGACAGTGGTTGGTCCATCAACCCTATCCAGGACATGTTGAATATGATAACGACAGTACTATAAGGAACCCTATGCAATGTTCTTGACTATTCTCTATTTGCTATTTGAGCCCAAGTAAATAGGAGGTAGAAGCTCTAAGGGTAAAAGGCATCAAAAGTAGGAAAAAGCCATTGGAGTAGTCTTTTTATTCTCAGCTAAATGAGAAATTATAAAGTGAAAATTTTTTACTTGGACTATTAAACTTTTTATTACGTTTCTAACATTCAGTGGTATGGTGAAACTAGCTCATATTTCTAGAAACCTTGAAAGCTGGTTGTTAAAAATGGCTATCATTAAAAATTAAATTGTATAAATTTTAAAGTGCATAAATTATATTACAAACAAAGGTAGTGAGTACTCAAATCTCATTACTTCCTGATATCTATTTTACTATTGTCCGTGTTCTTTATAAATATATTATATCTGCATGGTAACCATGCTCTCTAGTAGGATATTACACGTCTCTTCCCAGACTCACATTTAGTGATGTCACATCAGTAGCTTGAAATCTGACACAATTGTAGCTTGAAGTTGAACATGGTAGAGTACACATACCACAGAAAGCTGCAAACATTATAAATCAGGACTTTATTTTCCTGGAGAAAATTGTTACACAGTGCTGCTAATTTTATGCCATTTTTATAGGTGCTACTTATAGAGAATAGGGTACAGTTATATGCTGACTAGAATGAATGGGAAAAACAAATTAAAGTTGTAGTCTATTATAAAGTAAGTAAAAAGCATGTGTAAATATAGATAAGGAAGTGAAGATCCCTTCAAAGTTGGATGGCAATATTAATACTATCTTCTACACCATTAAGCCCAAGATACACTAAAATACTTAAATTTGCAATCTTAAATTTCTGTTTCATTGTCTTAGTAACTTATCTGTACATTTAAATTAAATACTCTGTTTGATAGATATCCAGTAAAATGGGCGCCCATTATCATTGTATCATTTGTTCAGCAACAATCACCAGAAGGACCGATATGCTGGGACATGTTAGGCGACATGTGAATAAAGGAGAGACGAAATCCAGGTATATTGCTGGTAAGTTGAGCAATCTCATTAACATATGTTGATAAGTAAATCCTTAAACAATGGTCCAGTTATTCTTCTCAGACATCAGGTAGATAAAATATAGGGACTTAACCAAATCATTTAGTTAAGTACTAATCCATTACTTCAGGTTTCGTTTTCTTTCTGTGAGGCTCCCAACAACATTCAACTGTCCTCAGTTTAACAAATATATTTAATGTGGGTAAAAAAAGTGATTGATGCCAAAGTAAACATAGGTATCTTAATGAAAGATTATACATAGCTATGTTATACTTACTGTTGAAAAACACTGGAAAAAGGAAGTAGAGTTATATAAAGACCATTTATTATCCTGAAGTGATAATCAGGTTATCAATAGCTTGTTATTACTGAGGCAGCCCCTCTTAAGAATTAACAGAATGCCTGGGTGGCTCAGTTGGTTAAGCATCTGCCTTCGGCTCAGGTCATGATCTCAGGGTCCTGGGATCGAGTCCCACATCGCGCTTCTTGCTCAGCAGGGAGTCTACTTCTCCTTCTGCCTGCCGCTCTCCCTGCTTGTGCGTGCTCTCTCTCTCTCTCTCTCTCTGACAAATAAAATCTTTAAAAAAAAGAATTAAGACCTCATGCCCTAAGGTATCCGTTGTATGTAATGAATTAATTTCTCTCATATACATCTAGAATGGTATTATGTACCTTTCTTTCAAGAATTGAAAAAAATACTGAAATAATTTTCTATAGAGCTTAATTTTCTCATAGAATCTGGTTTGAGAAAGGCTGATCTTTTGAGATATGTCACATGCCACTTTGGTAGGTGTAGAAGAATATAAAATACAATGCTAGGGTATGTTAACTGTGATTTGGCACTGTAAAAAGGGAAATATGGTTGCCATGTAGTTAACATTCTGATTACAATATTATCAAGAAATCCATACATAAAGAATCTGTATTTTTCCCCACAGAGATATATATGTCTCATTTCTTAAATATTTAAAATATACACACAAAAACACATCAGTATTTCATTTGGGTTTATAGCTAAATGATTCTAATGTATACTAAATGTAGACTCTTTTTTTCCCCCATTACTTCATACCCATTTGAATATAATTTATGTTTTATAATTGTAGTTATAAGAAAGTGTTCTGAAATCAAGCATGTTCAGGAAGTATAGTGATTCTTAGTCATCCGTGATGCTTATGGAATGAAACAGAGATACTAACTTTATAACCATTATATCACGGTAAGATATATTTAGCAGCCAACCTATGTAAACACAGTATAGTGGTTGATGAACAATAAAGGTATTTTAGGATTTTGTTTTATTTTATTTTTTTAAGATTTTATTTATTTATTTGTCAGAGAGAGAGCGCACGCACAAGCAGGGCAGAGTGGCAGGCAGAGGGAGAAGCCGGCTCCATGATGAGCAAGGAGCCCAATGTCGGACTCAATCCCAGGACCCTAGGATCATGACCTAAGCCAAAGGCAAACGCTTAACCAACTGACCCACCCAGGAGTAGGAGTCCCAGATTTTGTTTTATTTTAGGCTTATTGTTCTTAACTAGGTTTCGTAATACAGGTATATTGATGTTCTTGGCAGATAAGATTTTAACTTAATAAACTTTAATTCACCAAATACCTAATTGAGTGCGACTCTTTCCTAGAGACAGTACTGAATAAATCAGTTTTGGGTTGTTTTTCTTTTTTCGTTATTTACCTAATTGATTACATTAACAAAGTATTATAAAGGAAAGTTATTTCTTTTAATGTGTATTGTTTTAGATATTTAGAATTACTGTATTTCACTGGAAATCTTTTTTTTTTTTTCATTTTAGCTTCTGCTGCAAAACCACCTAATGAAATTTTGAAAGAGGCAGACACAGATGTACAAGTTTGTCCTAACTATTCTATACCTCAAAAAACAGATTCCTATTTTAATCCCAAAATGAAACTAAATCGGTAAGATAAATTGGAAAAAGGGTTATGAGATGTTTCAAATTATTACAGATTACCTTACCTTAATCTTTATGTTCTAATATAGTGAAATTTAAAACTAGGTACAGAATGAAAATCATCTGTTTTAGTATTTTCTCAGAATGATTGTTTTCTTTTTTCCTACCAAACTAATTTCTTTCTAAGAGAGTAAAATAGGCCTAACTTTATATATAAGCAGGCTTCACACCCTCCTCTGAGCCCAATGTGGGGCTTGATCTCACAACCCTGAGATCATGACCTGAGCCAAAATCAAGAGTTGGGATGCTTAACCGACTGAGCCATCCAGGCGCCCCATCTCACTGTTCTTAAATAAAATAAAATCTACAGTGATGGAGCCATATACAGTAAAATTATTTCAAATTGTTATACTTTCTTCTAGGCAGCTAATATTCTGTACCTTGGCTGCTTTGGCTGAGGAACGAAAACCTTTGGAATGTCTAGATGCCTTCGGAGCCACTGGTAAGTAATGCTTTTTTTGGAACCCCACTTTAATTATCAGATTTATGCAGTATTTTTTCTTAGAAAATTTATATGGGTATTCTATCTGGCAGAATATTTTGATTAAGAACTGAAACTTAAAGACCCATATATTTGAAATTTTGTGGAAAAATTTCAAATATATACAAAAGTAGACTATAGGAAATGAATCCTTTGCTATCTATCACTCCAAAAATTATCAACTTACGCTTGTGCTTGTAGCTGTATCCCATGCACTTTCCCTCATAACTCCTTCCACCATCCTTCATCCCCATTATTTTGATACGAATCACTGATATGTCATTTGATCTGTAAATATTTCAGTTGGATCTCTAAAAGATAAGGATTTTTATTTATCTTTTTTAGGATTTTAAAAAGATAAAACCATGATACCATTATCACATCGAAAAATATTAAGAATAATTCTTTTAATATCATCAAATGTTAAATATGCCCAATTATCTCACAATTTTTTAAAAAAATCAAGTAGGAATTCAAATAAAGACTATGTATTTCATTGTTTGATATGTCTAAATCTCTTCTTAATCTATATTCACTTCCATCATTTTGTTTGTATGTGTGATAATTATTTGTTGACATACAGCTTGTTTGCCTTATAGACTTTTCCAGAGTCTAGATTTTTGCTGATGGTATCTCCATGATTCTTAAAACATGTTCCTGTCTCCTGTATTTCTGTAAATTGGTAATTGGATTTTCAGATTTGATCAGTTTCAGATACGATTTTCTTTTATTCAAGAATACTTGTTCACTGCAATCAGGAAGTACTTGATGTTTGGTTGTCTCTCTTTTTTTGTGGTGCAATAAACTGCTTAGTCATTCGGCTGTGGGGTGAGAGGGAATTTTAAAGACTGAGAACATTTTTCCCAAAAGAACTTAACAGTAAAGAAAAGGTAATAGAAAGGGTAGAACATTTCTAAGAAGCCACCTGTATGTAATCCAAGTTGTTTTTACCGGTTATAGGAGTATATTTTGGGGAATTTTGTAACAAAAGGATGAAAGCAGGAGTTAGCTGTCCTTTTTAAGTTCCTCTTTGCAGGGAAAAGTAGTGGTTAAAAGCAGCTTAATATCTTGCATAATTTGATCCCAACCTACTTTTCCAAATTTAATTGCCAGCATTTTCTCTTACACAACCCTTTTTCTTTATTCTTTTTTTTTTTTTTTTTTTTACATTTAATCTATTTCACCCATCCTGTGACCCACCTCCCTTCTGGCAACCACCAATTTGTTCTCTTTATTTAAGAGTCTGCTTTTTTCTGTGTATTTTGTTTCTTAAATTCCACATATGAGTGAAATCATGGTATTTGCCTTTCCCTGTCTATTTCACTTAGCATTATACTCTCCAGGTCCGTCCATGTTGTTGCAACTGACAAGATCTCATTCTTTTTCATGGCTGAATAATGTTCCATTGTGTATGTATACTATCTTCTTTATTCATCTATCAATGGATACTTGGGTTGCTTCTATATCTTAGCCATTGTAAATAATGCTGCAGTAAACATAAGGATGCATATATCTTTTTGAATTAGTGTTTTCATTTTCTTTGGGTAAATTCCCAGTAGTGGAATTACTGGATCATACTCAATTTCTTTTCTTCTTTGAGGAAACTCCGTACTGGTTCCCACAGTGGCCGCAGCAATTTACATTCTCACAAACAGTGAATGAGGGTTCGTTTTTCTTTGCATCCTCACCAGCTGTTTTCTTTTTTCTTTTTAAATTATTTTTATTAACATATAATGTATTATTTGTTTCAGGGGTACAGGTCTGTGATTCATCAGTCTTAACACAATTCACAGCGCTCACCATAGTACATACCCTCCCCGTTGTCCATCACCCAGCCCCCCCATCCCTCCCACCCCACCACTCCAGCAACCCTCAGTTTGTTTCCTCAGATTGTCTCTTACGGTTTGTCTTCCTCTCTGGTTTATCTTGTTTCATTTTTCCCTTCTTTTCCCTATGATCCTCTGTCTTGTTTCTCAGTTCCTCATATCAGTGAGATCATATGATAATTGTCTTTCTCTAATTGGCTTATTTCGCTTAGCATAATACCCTCTAGTTCCATCCACATCATTGCAAATGGCCAAGATTTCAAATTTTTGATGGCTGCATAATATTCCATTATATATATATACCACATCTTCTTTATCCATTCATCTGTTGATGGACATCTAGGCTCTTTCCATAGTTTGGCTATTGTGGACGTTGCTGCTATAAACATTGGGGTGCACAGGCCGCTTCGGATCACTACATTTGTATCTTTGGGGTAAATACCCAATAGTGCAATTGCTGGGTCATATGGTAGCTCTATTTTCAACTTTTTGAGGAACCTCCATACTGTTTTCCAGAGTGGCTGCACCAGCTTGCATTCCCACCAACAGTGTAGGAGGGTTCCCTTTTCTCCACATCCTCACCAACATCTGTCATTCCCTGACTTGTTAATTTTAGCCATTCTGACTGGTGTGAGGTGGTTTTGATTTGTATTTCCTTGATGCCGAGTGATGTTGAGCACTTTTTCATGTGTCTGTTGGCCATTTGGATTTCTTTGCAGAAATGTCTGTTCATGTCTTCTGCCCATTTCTTGATTGGATTATTCTTTGAGTGTTGAGTTTGAGAAGCTGTTTATAGATTTTGGATACTAGCCCTTTAGCTGATATGTTATTTGCAATTATCTTCCTCCCATTCTTTCGGTTGTCTTTTCGTTTTGTTGACTGTTTCCTTTGCTGTGCAAAAGCTTTTTATCTTGAAGTCCCAATAGTTCATTTTTGCCCTTGCTACCCTTGCCTTTGGTGATGTTTCTAGGAAGAAGTTGCTGCGGCTGAGGTCGAAGAGGTTGCTGCCTGTGTTCTCTTCAAGGATTTTGATGGATTCCTATCTCACATTTAGGTCTTTCATCCATTTTGAGTCTATTTTTGTGTGTGGTGTAAAGAAATGGTCCAGTTTCATTCTTCTGCATGTGGCTGTCCAGTTCTCCCAACACCATTTGTTGAAGAGACTGTCTTTTTTCCACTGTACATTCTTTCCTGCTTTGTCGAAGATTAGTTGACCATAGAGTTTAGGGTCCATTTCTGGGCTCTCTATTCTGTTCCATTGATCTGTGTGTCTGTTTTTGTGCCAGTACCATACTGTCTTAATGGTTACAGTTTGTTATAGAGCTTGAAGTCCGGAATTGTGATGCCACCAGCTTTGCTTTTCTTTTTCAACATTCCTCTGGCTATTTGGGGTCTTTTCTGGTTCTGTACAAATTTTTGGATTATTACTCTCACTCTTTGGAGATGATACCATATCATCTGCAAAGAGTGAGAGTTTGACTACTTCTTTGCCGATTCAGATGCCTTTTATTTCTTTTTGTTGTCTGATTGCTGAGGCTAGGACTTCTAGTACTATGTTGAATAGCAGTGGTGATAATGGACATCCCTGCCACGTTCCTGACCTTAGGGGAATAGCTCTCAGTTTTTCCCCATTGAGTATGATATTCGCTGTGGGTTTTTCATAGATGGCTTTTATGATATTGAGGTATGTACCCTCTATCCCTACACTGTGAAGAGTTTTAATCAAGAATGGATGCTGTACTTTGTCAGATGCTTTTTCTGCATCTATTGAGAGGACCATATGGTTCTTGTTCTTTCTTTTATTAATATATCACGTTGATTGATTTGCAGATGTTGAACCAACCTTGCAGCCCAGGAATAAATCCCACTGGTCGTGGTGAATAATCCTTTTAATGTAGTTGGATTCTATTGGCTAGTTAGTATCTTGATGAGAATTTTTGCATCCATGTTCATCAGGGATATTGGTCTGTAGTTCTCCTTTTTGATGGAGTCTTTGGTTTTGGGATCAAGGTAATGCTGGCCTCATAAAACGAGTTTGGAAGTTTTCCTTCCATTTCTGTTTTTTGGAACAGTTTCAGATGAATAGGTATTTAATTTTTCTTTAAATGTAGAATTCCCCTGGGAAGCCATCTGGCCCTTGGCTCTTGTTTGTTGGGAGATTTTTGAT